GCTTCAGCAACTGGGACAATTGCACTAGAAACAGGATTACGCCCCATATGCCTTGTAGATACAACTGTTACATGTGCTGTCTTGATCAAATTTCAGCGTGTTCATGAGTCCTTTGAGGAGCTCTTAACACCTTTGTAGCATCTGTATGGTTAATGTGATCTCCAACAGTTCGATCACCATCATTTAAGGCCCTCCTCTCATTCAAAAACTGACGCACCTCTAGCAGAAGAAGAAGACTTCTCTGTATTTTTTGTGTATTTTACGTCTCACCTCAAACAGGTCTTTATACAAAAGTCCTACAAGTATTCTAGGAAAGAAAAAGAGAGAGAATAATGATAGAATGTTCAATTAAGCTAATTATGCTACAATCTTCCTACAATCAAGCTATTGATTAAAATATGATTCTTCTCCTACAATTAAGCTGGTCAACAGATGGATTTAGTGGCTTATCTGAAAAAATTAGTGAATATTTTCTCTTTTCGGTGCAGGACCTATTTACTAGCCATCATTTTTGTTTTGCATTTTTCCTTCTGCATTTTATGTTCCTATTTTTCCTATGATCTCTGTGGTGAAACTAATATTCTCTCCTTTTTGTTTTTCTTATTATCTTGAGCCGAGGGTCTTCCGCAAACAGCCTCTCTACTCCTTCGGGGTATGGGTAAGGTCTGCGTACATACTACCCTCTCCAGACCCCACTTGTGGGATTTATTGGGTTGTTGTTTAGAAGGGTTTTGGGACAAATTGGGAGAGCATGTCGTGAATTGTTGTTTTGTTTTGTCCCTTTTGTTTTTTGGGTTTACAAGGGAACTACAAGGGAATTGTAGTTCTACAAGGTAGTGGTTAGACTGATTATGTTGTATGGGGCAGAGTGTTGGCCAATAAAAAAGTCCCATGTCCAGCAGATGAAAGTAGCGGAAATGAGGATGTTGAGATGGATGTGTGGACATACTAGGTTGGATAAAATTAGGTATGAAGTTATTCGGGATAAGGCGGGAGTGGCCCCTGCGGAGGCAAAGATGTGTGAGACAAGGTTGAGATGGTTCGGGCATGTTAAGAGGAAAAGCACAAATGCCCCAGTCAGGAGATGTGAGAGGTTTGCCTTGGGAGGTGAGAGAAGGGGTAGAGGTAGGCCAAAGAAGTCTTGGGGAGAGGTGATCAGGCGGGACAAGGAGCAGCTCGAGCTGACCGATGACATGACCTTAGATAAAATGGTGTGGAGGTTGAAGATTAGGGTTGAAGGTTAGTAGGTAGTCGTGCGTTTCCCTTTGTCTTCTCTAGTTCGATAGTATTAGTGCTAGTATGGTACCTTTTTTTTCCTTCGTTTGCTATATTCGCATGTCTTGTTCCGTTACTACTTGCCATCGGTAATTTCGTAGTTTACTAGCAGTACTTTGTTCATATTCTCGTGTGCTGTCTTGGATTTATTTCTCTAAATATACTATCTTGCTATTACTTGTTATCGGTACCCCTTTCATATTCTATGTTGCTATCTTCGATTTAGTTTTCTAATTACTTGTCTTGCTATTACTTGATATCAAGGCTTACTTCACCTTCTTTAGCCGAGGGTCTATCGGAAACGGTCTCCCTGCCTTTCCAGGGTAGGGGTAAGGCACATCCTACCCTCCCCAGATCCCACTTGTGGGATTATATTGGGTTGTTGTTGTTGTTGTTTGCGTGGAGGATTGACAACGTGTGCATCTTGTAATAAGAAATGGACTTTGAGCCTAACTCAACCTCAAAAGCTAGCTCATGGTGCGAGTATTACCCAAGACCATATAAGGAGACAATAACCTATCTCCTCCATTATTGTGGACACTTAAAATGAAAATTTCTATTATCTACAGATAATTTTTTGCTTTGTTGGAGGTTTTGGTGACTTAACTTGTTGCATCTAGCACTCAAGGGAGTGACCTAGTGGTCAATGAAGTGGTGAGAACTATGAGGTTTCTGGTTCAAATTCCTGTAGAGGCAAAAACACTAGGTGATTTTTTCTTATCTATCAAGCCTTGGTGGACAGAATTACCAGGTACTTGTTGCTGGTGGGAGGTGGCAGGTATTGGGTGGAATTAGTCGAGGTGCACGAAAGCTGGTCCTAGCTAATAACAGAGAAGAGAACATCTAGCTATTTTGGGATGCACATATGAATATTGTGGTTCTTTGCTATTACATGTGTCATTTGCGCCCGTTACCTTAATATATTGTTTGCTACTTGTTGCTTTATCTCCACTGTTCCTTGAGCCGAGGGTCTATCGGGAACAACCTCTCTATCTTTATAAGGTAGGGGTAAGATCTGCGTACACACTACCCTCCCCTGACTCCATTTATGGAAACACACTGGGTTTGTTGTTGTTGATGTACATATCGAATGAGCAGCTTATGCTTTTTCCATGAAAAACAAAGCTTAGTATGAATACTCTCTAATAACGAGTGAGGAAGTTAGGACCATTTCATCTATTATTGCTCATAATTTACTCTGAACCCAAAAAGCTGCTACTCTTGCCATTATATCCGGATGGCTTTTTATGTATTGGTTAACAATTTGCCCTTTTCTATTTGGTTGTACTCTATTATATCGTGTGAGCATTCTAGCCACTCTTGCCTTTAAACAGCTAATTTAATGTTGAAGCACCTTTTTATGGAGCTCTTATCCTATGAGATCGTCTTAGGTATTCCATCGCTTACGGCTTAGCATAATTTGTTTTTTTTTTGAATAAAATAACAAATTTTATTATTGCTATGGACAAGAAAAACATGCCCGTATACAAGAGGTATACCAAAAAGTAGAAAACTTTACAAAAAGAGATGGTTTTCAACGAACGACTCCCAATCATCTATTCACATGAATCTTATGGGTGCACCAAAAAGAAATAAGGGATAAAAGAGTACTTCTCAACTGAACAAAATTTATCTCGACACCCTCAAAAACTCTCCTATTTCTTTCCCTACAAACGACCCTCAAAAGAGCCAGCGGTGCAAACTTCCACGCCCTGCTTCTCCTTCTTCTACCATAATTCCAATTGAACGTCACATCTTTTACCATGCCTGACATCACCCAAGATAAACCAAACCAATTTAGTATCTCCCACCATAACCTCAATGCAATTGAACAATGACTAAGGAGTAATCAACACCTTCCCCGAACCCTTACACATGAAGCACCAACTGACATAAGCAATCTTCCTCTTCCTCAGGTTCTCAGCCGTCAAGATTACTCTTCTTGCTGCTAACCAAGTGAAAAAGCATACCTTTCTCGGAGCCTTCAGTATCCTAATCGAACTATTCGGAAAAGCGACCTCCTTCCTATTCTGAAGCTTTCCATAATAAGATTTAACTGAGAACACAGCATTATTCCCCAAACCCCACCTCCATGCATCGTGATTATCCTGTTGTGGACTTTGTTTATGATGTAACTCAATCAGGCTTTGGAACTCCCCCACCTCCCATCCTGAAAGTTTCTCTTATATCTCAAGTCCCAAAACACTAACTCCATCCTGTATCCTTCTGGCACGTTGGACTGTCATCTCCTTCTGGCATGATATTCTGTAAAACGTTAGGAAACGTACTGCTCAAAGTGTTGTCCCACACTACCTTTGTCCCCAAAACTAACCCTCCTTCCATTCCCAACCTGAAAAGATACATTTTCAGTAAACTTTTCCCATCCCTTCAATATGTTTCTCCACAACCCGCAACCATAAAGCATAGTGACTTTCTCTGTCCTCCATCCCCCTTCCAACACCCCGCATTTACCCGCTATCACCTCCCTCGGTCCCTCCAAAAAGCATTTTCCTCTGTCTCGAATCTCCATGACCACTTGCCTAGTAAAGCCTTATTGAACACCCTTAGATCTTTAACCCAAGACCACTAACACTTGGAGAGGTGTCTCCCGCCTCACCAAGTGAAACTTCCTTGCTCCATCTGACAAATCCGATAGAACATTTCCTTGAAGTCTTCCAACTCTCCGGTGATACTAGCCTGGTGCCTACAACATGGACATAAAATATGTGGAAATGCTCGATAATGTGCTCGTAAGTACTTCCTTTCGTCCTTTGGACACGCATCTTTTCTGCTAACCAGCGAGCCTCTTCCCAGCCCTTTCTCTAGTACCGGGTTCCAACCTGTTTGATCCTTATGTGAAGCACCTAGTGGCAAGCCAAGGTAGAGAGTGGGAAGCGCCCCGATTTTGCCATTCAAAACCTGTGCTGAATCTGCTACATCCTCCAACACTTTTGAGGTTGATCTTTAGGCCTACACAACCTGAAACCATGTTAGCACCTGTCCCAAGTGTTCCAGTTGATCCCTGTCAGCATCACAAAAAACCAAGGTGTTATCTGCAAACAAAAGACGTGAAACCTTGATGCTGCTATTTCCCCCAACTGCACCAGTGAAGCCCGTCAATAATCCCCCACCACAGCTCTATGCATCATTCTGCTCAATGCCTCTATAACAAGAATGCGAAGCATAGGAGATAATTTGATTATCAAAGCTACTACGACCCATTCGCTCAATCTTGAATAGTGCGGTCAATTAGGATCTCCCATATCAGATCAACTGAATGTTTTGGTGGTTACTTGATAATATTAATCTACACCTAATTGTCCATTGGATTTGACTATCATTGTTGGAAGATGAGGAATAACGACATTCTCGGCTCTGATATTTGAAATAGATGCTTCTATTTGCTTCGTTGAGTTTTTGTGTTTTCATATGAATTGGTTCTTGGGTAAAAACATATGCAGGCTGAGCTTTTTGATAAGTTCCTTCATGGATCAACCTTAGAGGAATGCTATTCAGTAGTTGCTTCAGTTGCGGATCGGTGGCTTGACCTGCTTGATGTAAGTGAAGATTTATCCGAGTAAACTGTTGTGATGTTCTTAATTTCAAGCATGCCATGTATAACTACAACTTATTTATGCAAATGCGATCATAGTGGCATTTGTTAAAATTTATCATAGTTGCAGTTATAAGTCTATTGTTTCTCCAGAATCAAGGCAATGATATTGCGGACAGCGAGTTGCTTGATTATATATCTGAATCAAGCACAATGAGCAAGTCTCTAGCCGATTATGGTGAGCAAAAGTCATGTGCAGTAACCACAGCAAAAAGGCTTGCTGATTTTCTGGGGGATGCAATGGTCAAAGATAAAGGATTGCGTTGTCAGTATATTGTTGCATGTGAGCCAAAGGTATACCTGTTTGATCTTAGTTTGGTAGTTCCCCTCTTGTATTCAAAGCTATCAACTTGTGTTTCCTCATCAATTATGAAATCAAGTAATGAAGATATTGTCATGACTTTTATTTGGTGTTGGCTTTTACGTTCACCGTATACTGTGAAGGGAAATGGAAACACATCCAGGAAGTTGCTGCGGAAAGGCGAGTAAAAATCAGAAAGGGCTGCTCGGCTATGTTCTTTATCAAAGATGGAATACTTTGCTCTTAGCTTCATTATTCTTATCTCATTTGGATGAAGTCCTGTTAAGATGTCTCTAACTTCCGAAATAGTTCTTTTGGACAAGTTGTAGTCAATTCATATTATAATCCTCGTCTTGGCAAGAAAATATGCTACGAAATGCCCCTTCTGAAACGCTAAAAAATTCTTTCCCTCTAGGTGTTCCATGACAGTGATAGCTAGCTTTCTGTATTCATCTATAAATTTGTCATGTTTCTTCATTTGACATCATCAAGCGATTGACTTCCATTTACTGGAACCTTTGTTATCTGAAGCTGTACTGGTTTATCATAACTTGAAATCCTTACTAAGGGCCAATAGCTGGCTCATATAACATTTTTTGGATTGTTGACATAAGTTGTTGGTTCAAGAGCAAAACTCTACTACAAGAGTAAATTTCTCTGCGGACATGCTTGGTTTCTTGAGCTTATTTACATGCCATTTTTGCTACTTCACTTGCTTATAGATATTCCTCAGCTTTCTTGTTAGCTCCTCTATAGTGCATCATTCACAAACTGGATGTTCTGATACTATTCTTTCCCTGGTGGTGATGTTTCTACACTTTGGAATAAGTTTGTCCAATGTGAATATTGGGGGAACAGGAAGAAATTTTTAAAACTAGGGCCACTAAAGGTTATATTGATATGATAGATTATCCTAAAATTGGAAGAAATTAAAAGGCATGTTGTATTTTGAAGGCATTCCTATCATTTCTGTTTGAAAAGGTAGTTCATGCATGCAGTTGACTCCCGGATTGAGGGTAAACTGGCTTTGAAGAGATAGAGAACCTACCCTATAATTTTTTTTTTGTACTGTGATGTCTCTTACTTGCCATAAATTTGGCTAATCTGCTTCTTCAGTTAATTTTACGGTTGTCTTATATGTGCAGGGAACCCCAGTAAGTGAACGTGCTATTCCTGTTGCAATATTTGAAACTAATGCTGGTAAAGTTTTGTATTAACTTGCTAGAATTTATCTTTTACCTTACACAAGAGCATTGTTTGCTTATACATTTGGCTATTCAGAGATCATGAGGTTCTATGTCAAAAAGTGGTGCAAAATATCATCAGAAGTTGGAATACGTTCCATTATTGATTGGTCTTATTACAAGCAACGACTTAGTTCAGCAATCCAGAAGATTATCACAATTCCTGCTGCAATGCAGAAGGTATGTGTTATCTGTCTAATCTTATGTAAGATGTGGACATTTGCAACTTCCATTACATAATTCTGGATCTTTCAGGTTTCAAACCCTGTGCCAAGGGTGGTTCATCCTGATTGGCTGCATAAGAAGGTTCGTGAAAAAGAAGACAGATTTCGCCAACGAAAATTAAATGATATCTTCAGCTCAGTGAACAAAGATGATGCAGTGCCAAGTAAAAATTCTAAAAATCAGCAAAATATTGAAGACCTGGAAGACTTTAGACACAGCGGTAAATCGTCTATTTTTAGTCCGAGGCCTGTTGTACATCGTTATGGAGTCAACAAAGAACATCCGGTGAACACTAGTGATCAAGTGGACAATCAACAACAAAGTGGTCATGCTAGCAGTCCATGCAAGATGTTACCTTCACAAGAAATTGCTGCTGTGGAAGATATTGACAGGAATGTAGATTATCATGGATGGCTACAGCAAAAAAAGAGAAGATGGAAAGAGATTCGTGAGGAAAGGAAACGCCGAAGGTATGCTTATCTCTATAAGAAGGAATAGTTTTCCAAAATGTAGCATATTTATTGCAATTACTGATATAAAAATCAAGCATAGGAAGTAAGGCAATTTCTATATACCACGATGTGTCAACTGTCAAACTATGCGCGGAAGAAAACTAATGTTACAGCCCAATAATTATAGTTACTAGACTAGCCTAAAAAGGAGATTTCATTGGGCATTAGAATTGGCCTTTCATGGGATAGGACTGCTACCTGAGAACGGTTCACCATAAAGGCTGTTGAAACTGCACATGCTACCAGTAACTGGTTCTAATTCATTCTGGTTTGATGGGACAAAGTGCAGGGCTGTTGCTGATGACCATGCTGCCCCTCATTAGAAACGTCCTTTTTATTTATGCCTGCATGAGAATAAAATGTGTTTTACTTTCCTTTTCCTCATAAAGCTCATAAGTTGGGATTGTTTTTGTAAGGTAAGGAAAGATAAGTAGAATGATGGTGTTTGACAAGTTGGCAACTATCAGAATGAAAACATGAATTATCCTCATCTTCAATATGTATAAGTGACATACCTTAGTAGAAGAAATAAGGGTGGCCAAGCCTATAGTGCCAAAACATAAATTCATCTTTATCTAGAAAGAAATACTTCCAGAAGTTTGAGTAGGTCCATTCCAAAGATACATCAACATCCAAGTAGCGGAGTTGGTCAGTGTGTCTAGTGTTTTATTGTCTTCCCCAAAGTTGCATCGTAGAATTTGCAGCGAGAAGGGGAGAATTTGGTCATACTATATGAATGTCTTGAGATTTTGCTAACAAAGAACAATTTTCAAGAAGTTTAGGAACATATAAACCAAATGCAGCGTTAAGGTGTCAGAAACAATAATTAAACCTTTTCCTGCAATAGAAGCTAAGGATCGATTTGTTTGCAAATGTTAGAATGACAGAATAAGAAGTGTAAGTAAAAAAAATAATGTGAAAGGCAAGTCACGTGATCGCCAGCACCTGAATCTACTATTGAAAGTGCAGGGTCAGGTAACATCTAGAGCAAGAGAGCAAGAAGAATCAGGACTTACTGGAATTGACCAAGAAATCTATACACATTCTCTAATTGTTCCAAAATGAATAACACTTTTAGACATAATGGAAGATTGAGATTTTGAATTAAAAAATAAATATACCATCCTTACAAGTTTCCTCTGCTAATGACTAATCTAATGCAGATGAAAAAATAGAATATAGATGCAATCGCCCAAGCAAAAATACATTGTCGGCTGTATTTTTGGTGTAAAAGAAGTATTTCGGAAAATCTGGAACAATGTTTAAACTTTGTAGAGGAGTTAGATGATATGAATTTAGGGGATTTGGAATTAGTTGATATGTAGAAGTTCTTTTTGTAATCCAGCTGGATTGTACGCTTCTGTACCATCTTGGTACTTCTATTAATAAAATTTTACCTTGTAAAAAAAACATTGTCGGCTAAATAATGTTCGCCAGAATAATGCTCGGGATAGTACTCAGAATAGTAAACCAGAATAGTGTAATATAGTCACTAGAAAGGATGTGGTGACAGAAATCTGATAGTCATAGAAAAACAAAATTAAGTGGAAAAGAATTCTACAGGCACTAGAAAGAGCAGGGACAGAGTTTTGACAAGGTCCCTGGAACACAGAGAGAATTGGGGTTATTTCTTCATAGTGCTTTGGTACCATGAGAACATACCATAAGAATAGAGTACAACTACAACAAAACAATTACTATGCCTCAGTCCCATAGAGTATGAGAAAGAAATTTTCTCAATTGATGACTCGGTTAAATATGAAGGAAGAATGACCTCTATTTTTGGCTGGAGGAAGCCTCTTACCTACATCATTTCATAACATTACATTTCTCACAGGTCACACCTAGTGCAGTTACCTCCTTGTGCAAACAATAAGGAATATCACATCGCTGCACAACTTTCATTATTGTTGTCTTGGACTCTAATAAATATCTCCTTAAATACACTCAAATAAGTCAAATCAGGCACAACATATATTCAGATTCAAATATTTCAACATCTCTATTTCAATTGAACTCTCTGTGGTGCATCACTGCTTGTTCTTATGATGAGGTACTTGGTGTTTGTTAGGTTGGATACCTCAAGGACAGTAAACCATGTTAATGGCAGTACTGAATTGTCTCATCACATGGTAAACCACAAACGCCAGGGTAGAACTGGGGTTAATTCCTACTTTGAGCGACATGAATTAGCTCTCACACGAAGTCACTGGCAGGTGATGTTGCTCATATGATTTTAATGAGCATTCTGCTGAATCCATTTCTTCCATTGGTGCTTATGTAATTTGCTTTTCCTTCAGATAGTTCAGCTTGAACCTACTTCACAGCATGGACAGTTTTTTGCATGGGTAGTTGTGGAAGGAGTCATGCACAAAATTTCAGTAACTATCCCCAGAGTGTTTTACCTCAACTCCAAAGCTCCTATAACAGAGGAATTTCCTGGAAGACGTGTCACCAAGATTCTTCCTCATGGACGCCATAGCTACAATTTAATTGAGGTACATTGATCATAATCAGT